GATTCTATGATTCTATGATTCTATGTAAATGCACAGGCCAGTAAGCTCACATCAGGCTTCAATGTTTTATCAGCTGTGGGTGGGATTTTTCCATGCCAAGAGTCCAGATTTATGCAGGATGCCGAAGCGTTCAGCTGGCAAATGATGACATTGAAATAAACCTGTGCGTAAGCATCTTTAGTGCACAACAGGCGTGAAACACAGGACTGGAAGCACGAGCGTAGAAGGGTTGCTGCAGGGGGTAGGGAGGCATTTCTGGGGTTCACATGAACAAGGCAAGGATGCATCTGGGTTGGGAGCACTTCCAGTGGCCTCTGGAAGCACAGAGAGATGAACCAAGGTACTGCTCTTGTTCCCCATCACCTGCACGTGCTCACCCGTGTGACATCCTAGTGATGCCCATGGGACCTGGTGGGACTGGGACCTCCTTTCAGAGATGGCAGCATGTTGGGGACTGGAAGTGGGGATGGGAATATGTGTTTCCTTATCCACTCAGTCTGTTATCCCCAGCCAGCTTCATTGTATGTGTTTCTTTTTCTTTTTTTCCCCCTGCTCCCTGAAGTGTTGAGTGCTAATTACTGCTAATTATTTACAGACAAAACCTAAACACCCTCCCTCCCTATGACAGCTGGCAGCTATCCCTGGTATCTCCATAGCTTTGAGCAAATGAGCAGCCTCTGGGTTTTCTCTCCTCTTTGCAGAACTACACCAACTGCAGCTGCATCTCTGAAAATGGGCTCATGGGGTCTGCCAAGCCCGGGACCTGCGGCACCGGCTGCTCCCACCTCTTCCTACCCTTTGTGGTCCTGTCCTGCCTGGCGGGGATCCTCGCCAGCACGTCCCACACACCGTCCTTCATGCTTATCCTCAGGTGAGCAGACTGGGTTGGCCATGGTCTAGGTGCAGCCACTCCTTTAAGCACGGCAGAAAAGGCTTCCAGAGGTTGCATTTGGAAAACCAAGGGGTCCTTGAATTGCGGAGGAAGGTTTTCTCCAGTTGAGGGACTGGAGGGTTAAATCAGCCCTATACTGCACCTCGTGCTCAGTTCCTCACGTTGCTTTTACATGGTTTTTGCATCTGTTGGTGCAGGGAATGGGGAACGGGGCTTTCCTGCTCCTGTCATCTGGCAGTGCACATGATTGTCCATCTTCTAGGCTATGTCTGTCTGGGGAGCAGGCTGTGCTTTGCTAGCAAAGACCTGGCATGTCTGGGCAGGACAGAAACATCGAGCATCTCCAGTCTCAAATGTTGAAGGAGGAGAGACCTTCAGGACTTGCTCTTGAAGACCCTGCACTAACAGAGCTCCTGCTGCCCTAAGACTACAAAGGCAATCTCTTTGGCTGTTGCTGCTGAACGCCCTGGGGAATTAAGCAGCAAGTGGAGATTTCAGGCTGCTGGAGGCTTTATCATGAAGCCACCCAGTGCTGCATGGCCAATTGTTCTTGCAGGCAACGTGGTGTTCACCAACAGGCTCAGGCAAGGAGCAGCCAGTGGGTGAGCGGGTGTCACGCCATGCCAGGCCCCCATGGCACCTACACCCACCAACGGGGCCTTGGGGCTCGCAGGAACCCCACGTTGCCCTCAGCACCCCCCATTCCTGGTCTCAGCACAACCTTCAGATCCAGCAGCCATCCTGTTCCTTCTCCCCACCCACGGCTGATACCTCAGTAATGAGATGTACCATTAACTTAGCATTAATTTAGCACGGCAGTACTTTGGCACTTTTTAATGCAGCTCCATGTTAAGTTAAGAAGTTTAATTACCCTTCCTTCCTTCTGATGGATCTTGCTTGAATACAGCCTCCCTTGCTAGTGCAGAGAAGCAATTAGGACTCTAGTATCCCGCACCCTTGGAAAGGTGCCTGCGGGGCAGGCAGCGGCGGGACGGAGCCAGCCTCGGCACGAGCCCCAGGCCGGTGGGGCTGGAGCCTGGGTCGGGCAGGAGAGGCTGAGGCTGGGGCTCTGCTGGGGGACAGGGGAAAGCCATGGGGGAATGTCTGTATTAGTCTATAAATGATATTTCCAAGCACGTTTCTGTGGTCGAATGACTCCAAACAGTTGCTTTTTAGGAAAAAGCTGTGGTTAAAACCTGGTTTTTACCTCCACCCCCAGGCATTATGAAATCACCCTTTATGCCATGAGTGAGCTATGCATACGCCAGGCATTCAGAGAGGAAAGGAAAGCTGAGTCCCCTGAGGTGGGATGACTCTGGGGGGTCCTTTGCCACCCAGTCCTCTACCATGTGTGACCCCAGCAGGAAACACAGCCTGAAATATTTATTTCAGAAAGCTGGGGTACCACCAAAATATGCACTGGGGCATCCCACCTCAAAAAAAGCCACTTCCTCAACGGGTAAATCACTTTTCTCTTTCAGTTACAAAAAGCATCCCTTGTATTGCTTGTGTTTGGCAGAGACAGCGGCTATATTGGTTTCTGTTTGTGTGTTACTCGTATGGATTCTTCAAATTAAAAGCAAAAATACTTTGCTGAGCTCCACCCTGTCTCTTACAGTGTTTGGTAGGTTTTTCAGGCCAAGAAAAGGCTGTGGTAAGCTTCTAACTTCCTAATGAACGAAACATCATTTTTGCTGACGTAAATGGGAACTGCCTGAGGTCCTTGGTGGTTGGGCTGAAGGGTGACTTTTTGGGTAAGACTGCATGTGATGCCAGGGAGGGAAACATCCATCTTTGTGTAAATGCCAGAGGGCATGCTTTCCATTTTGTTTTTCAGGAGCATCCAGCCTGAAGACAAATCGTTTGCGGTTGGGATACAGTTCATGCTGCTGAGAGTTTTAGGTAAATTAAAACGTGTTGAAACGCCGTCCTGGAAAATCATGGCGGCTCTTGGGGAGTCATGGGGATTCCATCCCTGAGCAGCCCCAGGGCTGCAGAAGTGCTGTTTATTCAGAGTTTCAGACTGACCAAAGCCTCTCCTAA